GTGAAATATATTTATGTTTGTGGTTGTAATGTGACAAAATATGGAAAAGTTCAAGGGGTATGAATACTTTTGCAAACCACTGTATATACATAATTACAACTAATTCAGTTTATAACCTTCTTACTAAACTTTGTTTTTGCAGCTTCTAAGGGGTTGACGGATGCGGCACACTTCTGCTACCTGATGGCTCAAATTGGACTGGGAGTTTTCACAAAGAAGAGCACCAAGATGGTTTTGATTGGCTCCAACCACAGGTTAGTGCAATAAGTAAACAATACCAGATGTATTCAGTGTTAATGTGTTTATAAATATGATGAACTATATAAAGAAAATAAACCACGTGTAATTTTATTTTTGTATCTTCACCTCAGTTTGTCCTTTAATCAATTTGCAACCAATGAAGCAATTCAGAGGACTGAAGCCTATGAGTATGCTCAGTCTCTGGGCTCCCAGCCGTGTTCACTGCCTAACTTCCAGGTAATTTTTTATCAGTATTATTTTTAGATGTTAAAAAATGTCTTAATTGTTACTGCCAAAAAATCTGTTGGAAAAAATATTTTGGTTGTGTTGTCTCAGTTTTAAATTGACATTTTCTACTCTTGGTATTTTTCTAAGAAACATTTTCTTTGTCTCCCATCAGGTGTTCAAATTAATCTATGCATGCCGATTGGCTGAGGCAGGCCTGTGTGCACAGGCCTTTCATTACTGTGAGGTCATTTCAAAGTCTGTCCTCATGCATCCCTCCTACTACTCTCCTGTGTTCATAAGCCAGATTATTCAGGTTTGTTTTTGTTCCTACTGGAAACTTTCTGTTTCTTGTTTGTTATTTTCTATAATGTTGCAATAGAAAATAGAATATGAAAAGTATTTGGACAGATTTCTCTTACGATACCAACAGATGTCAGAGAAGCTACGGTTCTTTGATCCTCAATTGCGGGAAAAACCTGAGCAGGAGTTGTTCGTTGAGCCTGAATGGTTGATTCGCCTCCGACAGTTGGATGGACAGATAAGGGTGAGGAGGGAAAAACGTTTTTTAAGTAGCTTTTGCGAGTCCTTTTCAATGTTCTTACTAAAGACACATTTTTTCTTTTAAAGATAAAGGAAAAACAATGTAGTTCTTCGATAAAGTAATGGATTGCATGGATTTAATTTAGATATTTAACTTATTTTTCAGTAGTTATCATGTAATATCATGAAATTTGTTTTTTTTTTTTTAAGACTGGAGTTATCACTTACAATGTGGACAGATCTACTCCTGCTCCGTTTGACGGCAGCAGCGAATGTTCTGACTTGGACCAGCCGACTCCCTCTGAACCTTACAGCATGCCACCTGAAGTGGATGGCCATGCGCCTGATAACCCACTCATGAGTTCATTAATGCCAGGACCTCCAGCTCAAGGAGTACAGTTGATGCCCCCAGGTGTGCATGAATGTGTTTCTGTTTTCAAAGATTTGCCCCTTTAGATCTCTATTTGCTGCAAATTGAAATTAATCTGGTCCACATTTTTCAGCTCCCACCTCTTTTCTTCAAGACAAGATGGCTCCTCCTCAGCATTTACCCTTTAACGAGGCGCCGCAGGTTTACTCAGCACCCCCTAGTGGACCACCAGGCCATGCCCCGATGCTAAATAGCTTTGCCCCTCCCCCGTTTCACCCTCAACCTGAGCAGTTAGAGATCCATCCAGGGGCCCATCAGCAGCATTTCCCTCCCCCACAGGAGGGCCAGATGTCCCCGCACACACTTCCCTCACAGGTGCCACATTCACCTATACAGATGATCCCCCCACCCTTACAAGTACCGCAGCACATGCCGCCTTCCCCTGGCCACATGGCACCTATGGAGCAGCCTCCCCTGGTGCCCCCAGAGATGCACAGTGCTCAACAAATATCATCGTCCCCACCAAGGGGCTCCTTCACGCCTCAGATGGACTTTTATGACCACATGACTAACATGGTCAGTGTTTTTCACTCTTGTCTTCTGTTTGAGAGCACGACACAGAAAACGCTTATTCCGTTGTCTTTTTGGTACTGCAGGGACCTGGCAGAACTCGAACAATTTCCCAATCTTCAATGCATATGGTATGTTTGTTTTCTATCAAAAGTGCTCCCATACAGTCCACGTAAGCTAAAACATTAAACCCATATGTGAAAAAACTGCTCTGAAATGGTAACTCATGTACAAATAGCTGTTGTAGATGTAGGCTCTCAGACCTGGCATAATGTATTTGTCTCGGGTGATTTGATTACAAGTAGCTCTGAGTAAGAATACACACAAGTAGTTGTAAACGTATACTCCAAAATGTTTCTGCAATCAGACTATTTACTGCAAGTCTGCTGATGTGTTTTTCTCTTAATGTGAATATAAATTAGTGAATATAATGCAACATAATTGCATAAACAGCACATTATAGTTTATTGATCCAAGCAGGTCCAGCCAGCTCTAAAAAACAATCAAAACAAACTAAGATTAATACACCATGCTGCATCCTGTAATCCTGTAATCCACGCTAATTAATGAAATCCAGACAAAATGACTGTTTTGATTAGAATTGTGATGAACTTTTTATGAAAACGTTTGAAAAAAGGAAGCAAAATTATAAATTTAATTATTTTAGTCCAAGAGGTTCTGATTATGACACTGGTGCTTATGTTCACATTCCAAAGCTGCTTTTTTATCCTTTTTTTTTTCTGATTGTGCAGGCATCAGGGCGCAGCTCTCGCAGAACTTCTGTGTCATCAACTCACTCTGGAGGAAGAGAGCGAAGCAACTCGGCTGTGAAACAGGTCTCTCCACCACCTGCCTCTATTCCCGAGCAGCCACGTAAAGAAGAGGCCAAGAAAGCGAAGAAAGAGTCACCTGAAAAGGTTCAGTTTTTACACTTTACCTCTCAGATCCTCTGCATGTGACCTTACAGTAGTGCTGTACCAAACGATTATTTTCTAATCAATTAATCTAACGATTATTTTTTCGATTAATCGATTATTCTAACAACAAATCTAAAAGTTATTCTGATGTGAGTGCACTGGATATTTAAAAAGTTTTCATCAAATTAACAAGAACAGTTCTTTAATATTGTAATATTTTCTGTAATAGTTTTTTCATGGACACAAAATATGCACTCTAGAGTCAATTCTTTAACAAAAAAAGCTTAAAAGATTTAACATCAACATAAAATCTCAACCAAAGCATTTAAAATTCAACTAAAAGAAATATAGTACAAGATGTTAACAATCTAACAAATGAACTAAATCATACAAAATTCAAGTCACTCTGGAAAACCTATAATAAACATATAATAACCATTTATTATTTTTTATTTAACATACTTCTCAATATATAAAATTTAACAAATATCAAGACAACAGCCAACTCTTTGTATTGTAACATCAGTTGTGTAACTTATTTCTTTAAGGTGAAAACTGTTGAAAACAACAAGATGTCTAATTGCACAAATTAAAATCCAGCTCCACGTGTTTCTATTGATGTCATTTCCCCACTAGAAAAATGTGTGATGGAGGTCCATGGAAGGCAAATAATTTTAAATCAAATAAACAAAAGAGGATGGAGTTAAAATAAATAAAAGGTATTTAAGCTACGTTTTGAACATCCGAAACACGTCCAACACTTGTTGGCTGCTTGTGCTCTTTAGGTCAGACGTATGTCGGGAAGCGCCTCTGTTGTCTGAGACGCTGGGGGAACCGTCTGATGGGGGAACGTGGCTCGACGTAACACCGGTCTCTGTTTAATGGTGGATGAAATAAAGAAAGTGGTGGTACTTTATTTACTTTGAGCAAGTGAACGTCATGTTCACAAGATAATTAATCCACCAGATAATTCAGAGGCGGTCTGTTCGGTAAATTTTACTCCAGGAGCTGCGAGGCTTGTTTTCAAGCTTCAGACTGAACTGAAGCAGCAGCTGCTGACGTCATTACGCTCTTGCGCGATGCTGCATTCAATACAAGCATGGAAAACTCACCACTCTTATGCCAATACAGTCGCAATGATACTTTTAGGTACCAAAATGGAATTGCATGAACATTCACGTGGTGGTTATGTAATACAGTGAATCGATAATAAAAAAAACTGCATCGACAAATTTACATAATCGACGTCATCGATTATTTCAACTAATCGGTGCAGCCCTACCTTACAGTGTTTAATGCAGTTTTTCTTTGTCTTTGCAGAGTAAAAGCTGGCGCTTTTGGCCCTTTGGAAAAAGGAAAAACGAGGCTCACTTGCCAGATGATAAAAACCCCTCCGTAAGTTTGCTATATCTACTTTGTATATAAAAGATTTTGTTTTCATTATGTACTTTTAGTAGAAGCTTTAATCTTTGTTTTGTTTTTTAAAGATTGTTTGGGATGAAAAGAAGAACAGATGGGTTGACTTGAATGAGCCTGAAGAGGAGGTCAGTAGATATTTTAAATTGTAAAATTGACAAATATTTTCCTGCAAGTCTGAAAACATGACAGGTTAAACATTTCTAATGGATTTGTCTCACCTGTTCTTTCAGAGTAAGCCCCCTCCTCCACCTCCGACTGGTTTTCCTAAGATGCCTCAGATGCCCCAGATGCCCGGTCCTGGAGGGCCAATGGCTCCGCCGGGTAGTGGTGCTCCTGTCAACATGTTTTCCAGGAAGGCAGGTGAGACGGAGTTAATTGTATGTGGGTTTGTCTAAACAAACACAACATTGGACAGAATTGTGAGGAAAGAATTACTTGAGGCATGTACAAACGTATATTTTCAGATATTTTTCTCCTCTAGTTAATTTGGCCTAAAATTAGTCAAACGGGAAAAAATCTTAACCCAAAACAAGTTTAAAATTCTTTAAATCTTTAAAAATAGTTTGATTTTTCTCAGCAAAACTTTACACTTTATTCTATTTAACTAAGCTTTGATGATCATGTTCTTTGCTAAAACCTAGGACCAAATTTGATCAGAATTTTTTTGCGTGTCTTGATTGATGTCATTTTATTTTGAGGCTGGTATAAATTAATCCTTATTACATGGCAATTAAGCATCAGTGCTTCTTTCTTCTGAAGTTGTCTTCCTACTCAGATGTGTTTCGGTCCCCTCAGGTACCAAGAGCAGATATGTGGATGTTTTGAACCCGAGCAGAACCGTTAAACCAAGCGGAGGCGCCCCTCCTCCAGGGGACATCTTTGCTCCTTTGGCCCCGATGCCCATGCCTGCAAACCTGTTTGTGCCTAGTTCAGGTGTGTAGTGTGACAGAGCTGAGGATGTTCTTGATGTCTGCTGCCTGGTGTGTCAGCGATATCTGTTTTGATTTGGAAAATGAAGCTACGAAGCAAGTTTAAGTGATTAAAAATATTATTCTCTCCTTGTTGAAGCTCCTGACGATCAACAGCCTCTGGAGGGAAGTGAAGGAGGAACTCAGGAGCAAAATTCACCGAACTCCACTGCTGCTCCACAGGTTTGTAGCAGTGTTCTGTATCGAAAGAGTTGTTATTTTTGTTATTATTTATTGATTTTATCAAAAAAGAACTGTGGACATTAACCAATATTCAAAAGAATATACATGTGCTGGAGTTAGCACAATGGCTAATTTTCTTCTTTTGTCTTGGGCAAAATAGTGAGACAAGGCAAGTTTATTAATATAGCACATTTCAGTAACAAGACAATTCACTAATTCACATTCTTTACATGATAAAAATATACAAAGTACATTACAATGACATGGTAAATAAAAGTAAAAAATAGTTTGAGCAATGATGTTTATAAACAACTCCACGTGAATTTGTTGCTAAATTTAAAAATCTCAGGATTTCAATTCATTTTTATTAACGCTTAGTTGTCAGTAACTCCTCAGATTTTGACTTTATTTATCTTTGCACATTTTATTTAATTTTTAATTTATTGTTAATTTGTACAGGTACAAGTGTCAAGTATTAACATTTGTGTACACTAAAGCTTTTCCAGCCTCAACCAGGGATCTGCAACCTTTACAATCAAAAAGCCATATCCAATCTTTGGCTCACTAATCAAATCTGTCCAGAGCAACAAAACATGCTACAACTGTGATTATCAACTGGCGGGCCATGGGCCACTTTGAGTTCATTGAAAGGGGGGTTTCTGGCCAGTGGGGGTGACCATTATAAAATTAAAGATATATAT